TTTCAAAAATGAAATTCAGGCCCTGAATAAATGTCTAAAAATCCTGATTGGAGTATCACTATAAACTGTTATAAATGATAAAAAGAAGGCTTTAAAAAGATAGGTATCGGTGATTTCTGTGATCGGCAATCAGTGATCGGCCTCAAAAATCCTGATCGGAGCACCCCTAATTTAAATTGAGACTGGCTGGAGTCAAAGGGAAAACCTGACATTAGAGGATGGCATCACACTTCCTAGAAATGATCGGTTATCTTTTAGAAAATGCCCTGTTCGGCAGCGGTATTTGACTGTTTGGTGTCATTACAAAATCATTGGGTGTTTTATACTTCCTTGACCATAGCAACCATATTTACCCCAAAACTGTGTATTTGCATCACAAACAATGTTAGTATGTGGTCCAGGATTAATGAAAGCCCAACTCATACAACATGCCAACAGATCCTCTATTAACAGTCCTTAGTGAAGTAGCTGGCAGAGAATTGTTCTCTGTTTCTGCTATAATAGCTCTGTTGCACTGTATCCGTGTCAGTTGGACACTTCCATAGAACTGTAAACCAGTGTCTTCATTCCATGACGTTGGAGTGTTAAGGTTGTCCAGATGTCCTTTAACATGAGCAGGGGGCATTGAGGGAACACCATGTGCAATAAAGCCAAAGGTAGTTCTTCACAACTTTAATTGTTTATTTTTGAAGGATGCATGTGACAGACACTCATCTGTTACTGACTAATGTATATGAAGTCACCAAACTAAAAATGAGAACAGGAGTGTCGAGTTCATATTTGAACCCCAACACCCTATCTGAGCCTCTTGAAATTTGCTGATCTGCCGTGAGTAGATGTACTGATATTAATCAGAGAACGCTGCCTATCTCATCTGACTGTGTTCAGTGGTATTTCTGCTTGAGGGTTCATATCCTGACCCAAATATCAGTAGCTAGCCAGCTGTATTGAGAATAAGGTTATGTTTGAATTAGAACCAAACAGCAAGTCAAGCAGAAATGTATATTGTTAGCATAATTAAAACCAGCGCTTGTCTCAGAGTGGAAATCCTAGCCATTCAACAGCTTAAGCCAAATTACAAGCGTGTCTGGCCACAGTGTGCTTATTTACACTACAGTTAGGTTAGTTTGAATCCCAGCTGAGACACTGTGAACTCAGTATGACTTTAGCATCTGTACTATATTCTTAATTATTTGGTGTGTCTTTTTATGAATGTCTCAAAGCATATCTTGTTTCTTCCTTCTTTTTCTCAAAAAAATAGTGTGAATCAAGGAGCCGGTTGTCAGTATGCAGCAAGTTGTGTTATGCCATTGGAGGAGCACCATATCAGATAACGGGATGTGCAATCGGCTTCTTCCTTCAGATATACCTGCTGGACGTTGCTTTGGTGAGTGAAACTGTGTGATTGATTTTTACTAATAACATCTTAATCATATGGATCAATCAACTGATTCATCATACTGTGAATTTTAATTTAAATTGACTGTCTGTGCTTAACCTTTTTATGGCACTTTCCATGAATGTGGTACACTTGGTGTCCCATTACTTTTTTTTGTGTGTGTGAAAACCATACGTTCAACAAGTTATTATATAGCATAAAATTAATCTAGAATAACACATAAGCAGTTTTAAACACAAAATTTCACAGCAAATAATTTGGACCTGTGTCGCCTCAGAGGTCTTGATGATCTCGACTGTATACAACAATTGAAACCAATCAATTTCTGTTGAATTGAAGTCACTGAATTAAAATAAAATCAATTATACACTAATGTTAATGACCAAGGCACAATATTAAGATGGGAGATGAGTAAATAATCTGAAATTTTATGAATATTGTTGCTTTGGCTGCATTCGTCAAAATGTATATTTTTATTACCCATGTAATATTTAGTTCAACCTCCTAAGGATGCCATTTTTGTGAAGAAGAACTTCCTCATACTAACCATCTTTTCAAAATCTTGTCCTATTTTGAATTCGTGGAAAGTGAAGATCAGATTGATTTGCAGAATGTAGAATCTGATTGCGATCCTCAGAGGGCAGCGGGTTTCTTTACTCCCTCTGCTCACATAGTCAGAGGCAACAAGTACAGGCACAAAGGGGGAATTTGTACTGGAAAATGAATATATATGCAAAGATCTTTCATGCCATTAACTTTTGGGAGCTACTGTAATCTTGGCAGGCTGATTGGCCAGATTAAAGAGTCTGAATAGGATTGTTCTAATAGCCTTCAGTGTTTATCATGTAAACACTGACTACAGAAGACAGGTTCCCAGTGTGAGTTCTGCCAATGTGTTTAATCCCATAATTAACAGTCATTCCTACAATACACAATGTCAGCATGAAGCACTCAATCTGTGCAACATTTCAGAGTCCTCCAGAAGTTTTACAAGTGTGTTGTACTGGAAGTAAAACTGTTTCAACTGAGTAACTCCATTTGCCTGTCATGTGGTGTATGATCTCATGTATCTCAAGGTCATTGAGCAGGCCTCATGTGCTGCTCCTCCTGATCTTTGTAAAAAGTAGTTGTAGTTTACATGCTGCCTAGTCTTCTAAATGGTATAAATATTTGTAAATTTATCATGAGAAGTCATATCTGCAACTGATATGTTATGGTGCATATCTTTTCTTTATCACCAATATAAATAAGTAATATTAAGCAGAACTTTTTACTGTTTTAAAAAGTTTACTTCTCTTTCTTTCTTACTTTTCACTTTTTTTCATGTTGGTATTTCATCTATTGGTTTGAGTTATTTAGTCCATTCTGATGCTGAATAAAAGTTTTTGGAAAACGCTCAACCTGTGATGTGTGTTTTAGGTAAGATGATGACATGCTGGTCTTTCTCTTTTCTTGATAGTTGGACCCATTTTATGCCTCCATCATCTTGTTTGTGGGTCGAGCATGGGATGCCATCACAGACCCTACGGTGGGCTTTCTAGTCAGCCGGAGTCCCTGGACCAGATTTGGACGAATGATGCCCTGGTAAGTCTTTCTTCACCTGCAGTTTCACTGGATTTCTCCAGTGCTTTACTGTCCCGCAATCTTTCACATTAAACATTGAACAAGACTCAGAATCGTCTTGTTTAAGGAGCAAGTTGCCTGTAGTAACTGTCTACTTGATTAGTTTTACAATTCTACCCTCCACTAACTCCTCTGTTCCATTTAAAATGTGGCCCAATTAAATCTCTCTGCTCCGTCACTTGCTTTGTTTTCTGACCCATTTCTCTGTCGTTGTGAAATGTCAGGAGGTGTAGTCTTTAAGTGAGAGAGCCAAGTGTATCTGGTGATGTTTCTAAGTCAGAGGACGCTTGTGGGCTAAGTGAAGTCCCCTGAACTCTCATGGGGGGTTGAGGGGCGTGATGGGTGGGGGGCTGGATACACCACAGTAGCTTTGCCTTCGGCCAATTTGCATTTTCAGCCAGCCGATCTGATTTCTACATCACATGCATAACTAAACCACTTAATCCGTGTCCTGTCAACAAGAAATGCTTGCCATTCAGCAACAAAAAATTATATGCAAGTTAAATGGTTCTCTTTCTTAACTAGTGTTGCTGATGCTATATGGAGACAAATATGCTTAAGTAAACAACATTTGGTCCAAAACTAGCTACTGAGTGACGTGTCATAATTTAAGTTAAAATTTAGCTAAATCCTCTTACTCACTGTGGTGTAGTTTTTATATTTTTATTCATTAGGTTAAATATTACTTCTAGCAAAAACCAAATCACTATATTTAGACCATATGCACTGAATGTTGGTAATTTGACTGCAAAAAACTGCAAACCTCATAGAAAATTATTAGAAATTAAATAACTAATACTGCATTTAGTTTGACCCCCTGGGCTTGGTGACCAGTGTTTTTCTGAAGATTCAGCACATCCTTTGTCTGATGAACAGCTCTTTCCCACAACATAAAACTGAAAAATTGAAACTTTGCAGCTAGTGACCCTTAACCCTGCGATCACACAAGCATTATCTGTAGTGACAGTGATGCCCGCAGCGATGGAGGTGTCTGCTTTAGAGAATGCTTGTGTGGTTCTCTACACAATGAAGGCTTTCGGGATTGATGAAAAAGTCTTATTGGGTTTTGACCCAAATGAAGCAAATAACCAGTTTAACATTTCTTAGCTGGTGTTCTCAGCCTCAGAAAATAGGCGATCAGGCTAACATCAAAAGCACTGTACAAGGTTTACTTTCTCAGTCTTATTTTCCAAATGATGGTTGGTTTGAAGAATGCTGTGGTGGCTACGCTTCTTCAAGTCCTCAGAAGTACGAGGTCACTAATTGTATGAATAATTGGGAAACCACTCTTAGGAAGTGATGGGAACAGGGGGGGATGGGGTGAGGAATGTGCGTCTGCTTTCTAACTGGACACGGGGCATGTGAAGGAATCTGGTAGGAAGCTGGTGAGAACGTTCTGCCCTAATGAGCTCATTTCAGTGACGCTGGATCTGAGCAAGACGGTTGTATCCTCTCAGGGTGGTGTGATTACAAGATCCCTAGTGACGCCCAGATTTGTGCTGTGATGTCACTTGGGAGCACATGAGACAGGTTTGTGGGTGTAGTTATGGGTATATGTGGGAGAGAGGGGACTTTTTTCTCCCCTAACTATCCCCGTGGAGAATCATATGGACCACAAGCCTGTATAATTTCATTTTCACGATGCTTGATCACATGCAATATTAATAGTCACAAGCGAGTTAAGCTATCATAATCCTGAAAGGGAATTCATTGCAAAGGTTAGACCCATTTCAATGGTAAATTAGTAAATAACATGAGCTGAAATACTGGGTAACTGTAAAGAAAATGTCAATATTTGAACACGTGATAATCTTTCATAAATCGTAAATGATTTTCAAGGCAACATAAACCATAAAAAGACAATCAGAGACAGAAGGGATAAGAGCGTCTCTGATCTTCTGTAATCCATGGGATATTTTCTGTCTATAAGCGACTCATGTTGTGTGGATTGAATTCCGCAAATGGCATAAATAACACGACATTTGTCTTGTGCTGCCAGGCTCAGAAGGAAGATTCTCCTTTTTTCGTGCTGCATGCCTTCGGGGTTGGGAGGTGTATGCAAAATGCGGAAGCTCTTGAGTGGTCCAACCCACAACACACCACCTCTGTCATCCAATCAGAGTGAGAGGGAGGCAGACCACATCTGCTTCAAGTCTAAAGCCAGCATACTGGGGTTATTTTAGTTCAAATGGCAGCCTTGCTGGTAGAGTGAGATTTGTTACTATTTTGAACTGTTAACTAGTTGCACCTTTTTGCTACACGTGCACCTTTGTTCAGTTAGGGCTTTTTCTTGCTCTGATTTAATATTTTAATTCAAATTACAAACAGATACAAGAAACTGTTGACAAATCTAAAATATATGCAATTTATGTTCATAACAAATGTTTTAATAGATTGAAGAGATTATATTGTATAATAGTATTATACCCTAGTATAATAGTGGGATAAAATATGGTAGTGTAATATAGGTCAAAACGGCTGTCAAAGGAGTTTTGTAGTTTTTAGCTCCCAAGATATTCCCATCAGTTCAGGTGATTTAAAATGCACTTCAATAACCCTCAATCAAGCAAGCTCAGTCCTACCTTTATGTCCTATTAGGTTTGTATAGACAAATATTTATTTGTTTAGTGCAGGCAAAGCATTATTGAATTAGCCAAAATATTTAATAAACAAACAGAAAGGGGGTGGAGAGGGGCGTGGAACATACTGACTGAGTACAAACAATTACTTTCTGCGTAAATTTGTGGAATTCTGTGAGCTCTGATTCTGTTAAGGTCTGCTCTAGAAAAACTGCCAAGCGAGGCTCCACTTTTTCCATAAACCATTCAGTTCTATGACGTGTAACGCACCTGAAATGGTATTTCCTTGTACAGATGCTACAGATTAAGAGCAGACAGTGTACTTACACTTCAGCATCCTCTTGGCCACAAGGGTCACTGAACAAATACAGGAAGTTATCTCATCTCTCATCATCTCTAGTTATAGAAGAGAGGGAACAGAAAAGACAGGTTTGGTGCTTGACAAGGTTCAATGATATAACACCTAGTAAACTTCATCTATATGTACCTGATCCCAAACCCGTTTATCATCATGGGGAACCAGAATACCAATCTAGTTATACTTCATTTTTTACCTTTTGTACCTTTCTTCTAATCTCATATATCTTTTCTATGCAGGATTTTGCTGTCTACCCCATTTGCCGTGCTATGCTATTTCCTCATCTGGTACGTGCCATCTGTTGAGCAAGGCAAGGTTGTTTGGTACCTGATCTTCTACTGCTCCTTCCAAACATTACAGACAGTGAGTAACCATCTTTTTATGACCACAAGTTGTAGCCTCATAATTTTATTTAACCGTCTTTGACTTTTTCCCAAAAAACAGTGCTTCCACGTACCGTATTCTGCACTTACCATGTTTATCAGCACTGAGCAGAAGGAGAGGGATTCGGCCACAGCCTACCGTGAGTTTCAAAGCATCTCCAGCTAGCTATGTCCACTGTTTTGAATTTCATGGCTAACTGCTCATCTCTTATCTCAGGAATGACTGTTGAGGTTTTGGGCACGCTCATTGGCACCGCAGTTCAAGGACAGATTGTGGGAATGGCTAACGCTCCTTGTATTAGCACCAGTGAGGAGTTGAACTCCACAGATCTGCTGGTGGCTTCCACGGTCAACATCACTGGGCCTCATGCTTCACTGGAGCATCTGGTAAGGATTTTTTTTCTTTTAAGTTTGATTAAATTTAAATTCTTGCTATACTGGTGTTAAATGCCTGGTATCATATGGTTCCCACAGAGAAATGCTTACATGATCGCATCTGGTGTCATCTGCTCCATTTATGTCGTCTGTGCCATGGTCTTGTTCCTTGGTGTGAAAGAACAAAAAGGTTAGCGTTACTAATACCGCAAAGGTATTATTATTACCGCAAGCACATTATTACAAATGAAATTTTATGTAATTAAACTTGCACTTCTGTTAAAAAATTTGGGGTTGGCGTCTAATATGCTCACCAATGCTGCATTTATTTGGTCAAAAATAAAGTAAAAATGTTAATATTGTAAAATATTATTATAATATAAAATAACTGTTTTCTATTTGAATATATTTTAAATTGTAATTTATTGCTGTGATGCAAAGCTGAATTTTCAGCATCATTAATCCAGTCTTCAGTGTCACATGATCCTTCAGAAATCATTCTAATATGCTGATTTGATGTAGAAAACAGTTGTGCTGCTTAATATTTTGTGGAAACTGATACATTACCCTTTTTCTTTCAATTGAATAGAAAGTTCAAAAGAACCGTCTCTATATTTGAAATAGAAATCTTTTGCAACATTGTAAGTGTGTTTAAAAAAACTCTTACTGACCCCAGACTTTTGAACGGTAGTATAGCTTCTTTCTTAAAGACCTTATGATATCATAATTTTATGCTTTTAAGCGGTTAGCTGTTAGGTCTTCTAATATTCTGGTAAAAAGATTAAACTTCTCTAGAAATACACATTTAAAATTCATGCAAGTATAAATGCTGGAAATTTAACACAAGTTTGATGACACATGCTGCACAACACTGATTTTTGTCCAATCCAATGCTCTCCAAAACGAGTCCCTACATCTGAAACTGACTAGTAAACAGCAAATCATAGTTCATGGCTGTGATGTAACTAAAGCCTATTGGCTGTCTTAAAACAGGGAAATGATCCATTCACTATCTCTCGCCCAAATGTTCTGTTTCAGTGAGAAAAGTGTGTACACTGTAAATCTCATGTGGTTGCTTGCAGATGTGTCCGGGTTTTTCCACACAGCTCGGGTTTCTTTGAATCAGTAGTTGGCCCACAAGCTGAGCTCAGCTGGCCGCAGGGAAATGCCAGTGTATAAGCTTAGCAGGGTGATTAGCTTTCACAGCACAGAGAGGGCTGTCTAAATGGGGCTCATGGTAAATGGTGTTCTCTAGAGTAGTTAATTTTGAACCCAAATATTGAGACTTAACATGCAGACCTCAGTAGTCTGTTGTAAGGAAAATCAAGCACAGTACTGGCTCATCGTCACACCTCATTTGTGGATTTATCATGCTCAACGCTTAGAAATGAAAGTGTACGAGCAATTAAACAACATACTTTTTGGCAGATTCCTTGTCATGCAATGCAACACATTTCGACAGCTAATCAAAATGTATATGGTTGTGTGCAGCAATTTCCTTCATTTTGATTTTTTAGAAAGCCAACACCTGAAAATTGGTGGGGGAAAAAAAAATCTTACAGCAAGCTAGTCTCTTCCCCACTGCTCTGATATGTATTACTTTTAATGTAGCACCATTAATTGTCATTTGTTTCCATCATCTCATCTTGCCTCTCTCTTCTTTTTGACAGAGACCTGCAGGGTTAGGACTGAGCCCATGTCATTCTTTCAGGGCATTCGTATGGTGATGGGCCACGGTCCATATGCCAAGCTGGTCATGGGCTTCCTCTTCACCTCTCTGGCTTTTATGGTGAGTTCTTATGCAAATGATACACTAATTTCATGTTAAGCCATGGTCACCACCAGCCGTTTGGGTTGTCTAAGCTGTGACTGCCATGGACGAGCACTGTTGCCTTTGGCGATCGCTTTATTTGTTAGGTTTTGGTAATGTGTCTTTACTGTGCAGCTTATTATTTCTATAAACATTTCTTGCAGCTTCTGGAAGGAAACTTTGCACTCTTTTGTAGCTACACCCTTGGCTTTAGAAACGACTTCCAAAACATCCTTCTCGTCATTATGGTAAGCAAACTAAATGTCTCTTTTTTTGTTTTAAATTATAAATGTATTTTAAATGGGCTTTTTGAATACTAAAAGACTATATGACTCTGTATGGTCTGTAAAGATAGGTGAGGTTTCATTATGGAGTGATTGACAATGACATTTTGAAAGACAAATGTACAAAAGGAAAGTACTTAATGGGTTACATAATACATTTGCATAATACATTTGGGCTGATCATCTGAACAGACTAGTGTTTCCAGTAATATATTGCACCTTAACCAACCCACAACTCACTGCTTTACCCATGAAATGCTTTAGTATCGCAGAAAAGTTGTCAATCAACAACTAGATTATTGTTTAAGGAAGACAAAGTTGTTCATCTAGTTTCAAAGAACAATTATGTCTTGTTCATGTGTTTTTGTCCTTGAGATCAGAGTGTTCAAAACCCAGATTCCTTTAAGAATTCATGTTCAATAAGAGAGTATTATTGTAGTCATGTAAAACCCAGTCTGCTGACTTTTTTTCTTCAAACTACAATAACCTTTGTTCAGGGAACTATTACTGCAGATGCATGAATAGAACATTTTCAGGCATTGTCCTAGATATGATACAAAACATTCCAGTATTGTTGTCGGGAAGGTGTGTTAGGAAGCATTCTTATTGATGGGAACGTGTGTGAACACAGACAGGTTCAATTCTTTGTCAGAAACCTAATCTTAGCTAATGCCGTTTGCATGCATTATCAGTCACGAAAACCATCTTGCAGTGCAGTGCTTTTTCTGTATTACAGACAGATCTCTCTATAGGCATTGATCATCAAAAAAATTGTAATATTTGAAAAATGTTTGTCTTTCAAATCATCACCATGTGGCGTGACCAACATATAGACAAAAACGAAAACTCTTTTTAAACCTGCACACTTAGTTGTCTTTGAGCCAATCCTATTTTAATTTCCTCTATTTCAGCTCTCCGCCACGCTTGCTATCCCATTTTGGCAGTGGTTCCTCACTAAATTTGGCAAGAAGACTGCCGTGTATATTGGGACTACAGTAAGTATTGGCAGCGGCACACAACCCTTCAATTAATTCCACTAACTGACCAACAGCGGCTTCTTCTGGTCTGTCATCTACTGTAATTGAGGTATTTGATTCCCGTTACTGATGGTTTATATTCTCTTTGCAGTCTGTGGTGCCTTTCCTGGTCTCCGTCGTCTTGGTGCCAAGCAATCTTATTGTGACATACATTGTGTCCTTTGCCGCTGGAGTCAGCGTTGCAGCGGCCTTCCTCCTGCCATGGTAAGCACCTGACAATTGTACAAATGTATATGCACTTCCAGATTTGGTGCACTTTTTTCATGGAGTGTGTTTTCCTGTATGCTCAGGTCCATGCTCCCCGACGTTGTGGATGATTTTAAAGTCCAAAATCCTGAATCTCAAGGCCATGAAGCCATCTTCTGCTCCTTCTATGTGTTCTTCACCAAGTTTGCATCTGGAGTTTCCTTGGGGGTCTCAACTCTTAGTCTTGAGTAAGTTTCACGGTCTTGTACATGAAATACCGGCTCTTAAAGTTGGATTATAGTCTGCATGATCCAATAAGCCCGGCTTTTTGTTTTACTTTTACTGTATGAGAATCAGTCTGGCCTCCTGACCTTCAGATATAATGCGATTAGCGCTGCTCTTATGGGTCTTTTGGGTTTGGAGACGTGACCATGTAGGATAGTGTTTTAATGTGAAATTCAGTGATCAGTCATGAGGTTGGATATATCTGGATGAACATTAATAACATATTAATCTCTCATTTCTTCTCTTTCAAACAGTTTTGCTGGCTATGTGACGAGAGGTTGCACGCAACCCGCCGAAGTCGATTTAACCTTGAAGATCCTGGTATCTCCTGCTCCGATAGTCTTGATCATTATCGGGCTGCTAATATTCATCTCATATCCAATCAACGAGGAAAAGAGACAAGGCAACCGCAAACTACTTAATGAACAACGGTAAAGCCACCTATTGATTTTAACAGTCTTCCAGTCACATGTTTTGCTTAAAGATGTTAAGCCTGCTCAACATTCTTGAAATCTATACATTAACACGGTACTTTTAAACCTCTAAAGCTGATTAAATGGCATTCTTGTAATTTAAAAAATATATATATTTAGGCTAACTGTGTCCTGTGTGACTCTTTTTCAGAGAAAATGAGACTGACTCAGAAACAGACTCCACTGAGCTCAATGTGGTTTAAGAGCACCGGAAACCTAGACTGGACATCGTGCCATTTGTGTCACATCAACAGAGATAAAACAAACCGAGCGGATGCTTTGAACCAACCATGCTGCCTTGTGGCTGAAAACTTCCACCCATATCACCCCTACACAACCACAAATCAACTTGAAACATAGCCTTTTTCCAGCTCAATTTCAAAGTGCCTTGCCATTTCCAGTTGCAAGTGCTAATGGCTGCTACAAACGTTTCCCTGAGTTGCACAAAACCGAAAGGCAGGCTTGTGTGTGTCGCCAGTATTTGTGCTGCTCGCTGGTATAGGATCTCAAAGCGGTGTCCAAAAAAGCCAGTTTTTGATAAGCACACATCTAAAGTGCACTAAAAAATGATCTGAGGTGGGACATGTCTACCGTCTACTTGAAACACTTAATAACGTTTTTAGGTGCTAAAACCAAAAATGCATTTCAATCACGATTGAAAGGTACATTTTGGGAGGAATATCTGTGAAACTGTACACAACGTGAGTAATATTTGTATATAATTTAATATTTATAAATGCTTTCGTGCATCTAACTGGAAAAGCAAACTTGAGGGACCTGAGAGGAGTTTGATTACATCAAACTTCAGTATTGCGCACAGAAGGTTATTGTTTATTTCTTGTATTACTTTCCTTCACATACCCCTTCTATTATGTTCCTTTTCACCTGTGTCTGCTCTCTCGGGGTGTACTCTTTCAGAGGGATGCGCTGAGGGCGAAACATACAAATTTGGTCCCTCAACACCTTCAGATGATATGGGTACACTAAAGTGTGGATGAAAAGTGCTGCTGACAACTGAAGCTATGAACTAGCAAGATGCCATCAGACTATGTGGGGTTAAAATGTATGATCAATTGCTTATGTTATGAGGTGAACAAGATTAAGTATTTATTACTCTTGTTTTAAATCATATGTTGGTTTGATTATGTCTGTTTCTCCCATCTTAATTTATCTTGTTTAAGGGCCTCAGTCACATAAAATAAGGGCAATTAGAGCTGTTACTGCTGAATTATGTCTAATATGCCATTAATTCTTATGGAAAAGCCAATCAGTGTATTTACAGACGACTTGCTGTTTGTTTAGGTGTTAAATTAATCAGATTTTTGGTCTGTTTGTTTTGTGTCAGTGTCCGTACAGTAGTTGTCTCAGAAGTGCTTTTATTATTGTATAGTTGGAGATCTGAATGCCAAGTGTTTCTCTACCATCTGTAAGTGCTGTGATATATGTACATAGAGCATCTGAAAATATGAAGTCATATTTTACATTTTCTGTTTGGGGAAAATGGAATGGCTTGTAAATAATATTTGTGTAAATGTCTTATGTTATACATATGTACATATGATGCGCATTGAAATATCATCAGTGCATGTTTAATACCGTTTTCTAACACGTGTCAGTTTTGTATTGATGCATCTGTAACATCTGTGTGCCCCATTCTCATTAACACTGGTTTGTGGCGATCTGTTTAGTTTTCCATATTCTGATATAAAAAAAAATACAGATATTGTATATAACAAATGTGCTGATGTTTGTACATAGATGGCTTTTTTGTTGTTGTTGTTGTTGTTGTTGTTTTTTTGGATGGAATTGTTCTAAGTGAAAATGTGTGTAGTTATTGAAAAGAAACGATGTTACAAAAATGTTTGTTAATAAATTCTAATTAAT